TACATTATTATTATATTTAGTTCAGTCCCTGAGAATAAATATAATGAAAAAATAGAACTTAATTGGCATTACATGTAAATCCTTTCAGAATCAATCAATCCTTGACATTAAGCCACTTTATTCTTAACTTTATTTTCACACTTAGAGATAGATAATTACTTCTAATGCCACATTGAGTGGTTAACGTCAGATTTTTCTTTTTCTATAAATGACAGATCAGGATTCAGGATTTATTATAGAACCATTAGCAACAAGATGAAAGCTGGACTGATACAATGGCACGACAGCTACCTTCCAACAAAAGGTTGTGGGTTTGATACCACCTTGTCCCTAAATCCCAGGTTGGGTTGAGACAGGAGCGCAGCACCAGAAGGAACAAGCTGAGTGACAACATCATCTTATAAAATACCGAAACAGCGACATGAGGTATTATGTATATTTCATTTCAAACATTACCTACCTTAAGGAATATCTCATTAGTCTTTTTATTTTTTATTTTACCAGTGTAGCTGACAGTGTAAATTGTGGACTCAACATTTTGCTACACTGACACATCAGTGATACCATGGAACCTGGGTTCACCTTACCCAGCAGGAGCCATTGTGTTCTTTAGATGCTGTGACAAACTAACCAAACCACATTAATGTCACCTGAACAGCCTTCATTCCTGATAGGACCCCTCTATCTTTCTCAATCACCCCTATTACTCTATCTATAGCTTTCACCTCTCCTTTCATTTCCGAGACAGTCTATCATTTGAGCGCCACTGCTGTGAGAATTTGGCATCCGCTGGAGGAGCGCAGCCCAATGCTATCATCACTTCAGGGCCCTAATCAATAGTGTCACTAATATTGAGGGCAGAAGGAGAACAGTGGGCAGCTGTGGGAACCGTGGAGATCATATTGGAGGGCTTTGTCTTTTCCCTGACTCTCCCCACAGTCCTGTTAAATTATTCTGCAGGCGTTCATACTGTCAGCCTCTCTCCACTGAGGGCTGCAGGAAGAGAAACACATTTCTTTATGAAGGCTATGCAGCTCTTCTCTGTTGAAAGGTCTCAGGAGAAATGGTTATTGGCATGGGAACAAAGGCTTTGTCTAATGGATAGTTTCATTCATACTGTGTCACAGAAGCACATCACAAGTCCTCGACTTGTGTCGGAATTCACAGACGTAGCTCGTTAAAACAAATTTAGCACAGGAAGTAGTTGGCAAATGTATCGTCACAAAGCGATTTACGTGGAGGTCAGCTTTGTTTAACTTTATTGGTTGTACACCATATATTGGGTTTTGGTGGAGGCTTCTTGGCCTACTTTATGGCTCCCAAGTGTTAGTCAGACTTTTGTGTTTTATTTATAGTTTTATGTTTACTAATTTACTTCATTGAAGATAATCCACTTACTATTGACTTTCTTCATTTAAAGTTAATTTGGCAAAAAAGTTTGGGGACCAGTGTCCTGGATCATGATGTCACCACTGTGTTAGCGTAGTTAAGTGACAAAGGTACTAATATACAGTATGTTCAGACCCCTGTATGAACCTACAGCTGCTATAATAAGCTATAAACACTAGTGTCACCACCAACAACTGCCTGTGGTTTGATGCTACAGTCAGTTTCTGCAATTCAAGCTCAACTGCAGCACAACAGATGTCTGTGTCTGAAGAATTCAGGTAATAATGTCCATTGTTTTTTCTGGAGCAGTCGTCTGTGTTCTACAACTTGACAATGTGACATCCTTTAAGCCGACAGGGCCCAAAAGCCCCGAGCAAACTGCTGTGCTGTCCCCCAGGCAGTGTTGAGAGGTGCTGAACAACAGCCTGTTCTCACAGGACAGACAGAAAAAGTGGGGCATCATTGTTGAGACATGGCAGAAGCCGCAGAGGGCCCACGTAGATAAGACAACCAGGCCCCGAGCTGCCTGCCAACCCAGCATGGCAGTGTGCAGTAACACATTCACCCAACATACCTTCAAATGTCTACAAACAACACTTGTTTCTGCCCTCATACAATTTTAATTCATAAATCACTACACAGAGTTTTGCAGCACCGCGTGCGTCTCTTCATCTCCATCCTGGTACGTGACGACTTCATCCCTGTTGACCAGCTCTGTGAGAAGAGTGTCTTCTGATTTCATGACAACCACCGCACCACTGCTGTGTCAAGGTACCACTGAGGTTTGGGAGACATTCGTTATAAGCTTTGAGAGCCATGAAGTGCAATACATGGTGTTATTCCGCCGTATGGAAGAACAGCTTTGTGTCACAGCAGGAAACATTACATTTTTTTTGAAAGGCGAAGAGAAAAAAAATGTTTTTTGCCTTTTAGAGGACAGAACAGGGAGCTGGTGGGAGGCAGCGGAAAAGATGTAATTTCACAGCTGAACACGTCTGCCTGCTTCACCAGTACGAGCGGAGAAGGATTTTACACCTCAGGTAATAACAGAGCAGAGAGAGATGAGATCAGATTTTTACTCTGCTGCCCATGTGTTCCGTACATCAGCACGGACCACGCTGGCCTTTATGAGGCTTTAACCCTCCTAATGTCCTTCCTATTGCCACACACCTATGGTCCTCTGGGGGGGGGGGGTCAAAATATGACCACACCTGTGTCTGGTGTACACCTTAGTATAAATTGTCAATCAGTTCTGTGTTACCGTGAGTCTAACTGTCCAATCCATTAGCACAGAAATAACATTTTCAGGCCAATAGAGTTTGTTCAAGTAAACTGTAACCAAAATGAGTAAAAGTGTGTAGTAAAGTTAGACCACCCCAACCTCCACACACACACACACACACACAAACACAGGGGAAACATACAGAAAGAATAACACAAAGAACAATACAGACAGATAGGTGATTGAACTGCTAACCCTCCTGCTGTAAGGCTGTCGCTCTCACCACCCGTGGATTATGTTGCAATTAAAAAATGTGACAAGGCCATTTGAAATGTGGATTGATAGCTTTTAATCAGTTAACCAGCATCAACTCTCTGTCTGTCGATGCATTTGGTCCGTCCACGTCTGTGGAGTTCAGCTTCCATTACGACAGAGCATGTTGAGTTTGTCTGCTCTGGGCTGAAGTAAAACGAGTTGGTGATTGAACGTGTCAGCCTTTAACGTCTGATGTAAGTCATTCTGGGGTAATGAAAACAACCATTCATGTGTGAGAGCACACTGAAGACAAAGCATCCCTAAAGTTCGCAAAGATTAATGTCTGAATGTTATCTTGTGACGTCCTCTCCGGTGAGGTACGGCAGCTAAAAGTCACTTGGTCTCAATGATGTACTGTACACCTGCTGTTGGCACATACAAAACACTGGTTTTATGTATGCATGTATGTATTTTTATCTTTATATAATAAACCAAAATAATATCTATGCCACATGTGGCCACCCAAACCTGTGCATCCGTTTTTACCAACAATCATTCCGATCCCATTTTCTCCCCTGCTGCACCACTGCTGCCTATTGTTATGCAGAAACCATTTCTGCTCATTAGGTGCCAGTCAGTCAGACAGCTTAACACAGTTCTTAGTGGAAGAATCAATCTGCCATCTCTACAGGCCTGCAGTGAAAGCAAAACACACACACACACACACACACACACAAATACCATATAGCTGCAACAGAGGGTAATCAAACTCCATAATTGCTTTTTAAATCACAGCGTTAATGACAAGATCTCTAGAATGTAATGAATTGTAATCATGCTATTAATATGGATATGGCTGCAGCACTGGGAACCATCTGTTTGGCTCAAGCCGCGTTGGATGATTTCCAACAGACAGTTATTTCAAGGACTGTATTTTGGCCGCCAACCACAGGTAACGCAATCAATGTGGATGCCGCCACCAGCGCTGGGAGAGGAAGAAGCGAAATGGATCCATCAATCACCTTTTCAGACGATGTTTGTTCAGCGCCACAGTTATTCACATACTCAGATGAAAGCTCCAATAAAAAAGATGTCAGGGACTGGAACGCTACGAAATGGCACCAAAACAAGCACTCTTTACTCACGGCCTTGGTTTCCTTGTGTGTCTTGGTAAGTAATTGCCTTGGGTTACCTCAGGGTGGAATCAATTATCCGGGCTTTTTTAAAGGCCTTCTTTGGTCTGTACAGAAAAGCACAAAGTGGAAGTGCTCCCGAGGTATTTAGTCGTATTTCTCTTCATGTGCATACATCAGACTTTCTCTTTCTTCTTCAACTTTTCCGTACTTACTGCCAAAATGGAAATGTGGGGCATACGAGAGTTGTTCCTCAACTTCAATAGCAGTCTATTTTCTCTCTCTCCTCGTGCCTATTGTATCTCCAGCACGGCAGCATATGCGTCTTTGAAAAAAGCATCACAGCCACTCCCGGCTGATGTCGCCATGTTTGTGGGGGAATGAAAAACCAAAGAAGGATTTGATCATTTGCCTCAGGACATGTCTGACAGTTTCACCTTGTGGTTAAGCATCTAAAGAGAAGAGAATGGTCGAGCCCATTGTTCAGATGTGAGCACAAGTCTGGTTTCTCCTCAAATGTTTCGCTCTAAAACAAAGCTAAAAATGTTCAAAATTTTAAATTAATAAGTTAACTAAAAAGTGCTGTTCAAGATTGAATCAATGTTTTGTCAAGTCTGGACCTCCATTTCCTGCTCTAACACATCATCTGCCAGACTCTGCCTGTGGTCCAAATGTTCTGGTGGATCAGTTTAAATCTGTTACAACAACAGCAGTCAGGTGAGGTTTTCCTGGCCAGGGAGTGGGCTCTTGTCTTTTACAGTCTCAGTTTATTTGGTGCTTCTTCTTCCTCCTCTTCTTTTTTTTATTTATAGCAGAACAAGGTTTACAGAGAATACAACAGAAAATATATCCTCTCCCATCTGTGCAGATTTTTTAAAGCCTCATAATTAAAAGCTTCTTCAAAAGAAAGAAAAATCTAAGTGTGCCACTGACGCACTGCCAATTAGTTTTCAGGCACCGTCGTCATGACACATTCTGCTGGACCTAGAGGGAAATCAAAAGTTTCAAATCGTGCTGTGAAAGCTTTAATAGTCTTCCTCTTCCTGCCAACACAGAGTGGGAAATACATCCAGGCCTGACAAAATACTCCTGCGCTGGGTAATAAATTCCCCCAGCTTCTACAAAGCAAGAAAAATATTGTGTGTGGTGGAGGAGACAGCGTGGTGAGAGAGATATCAGAATCAGCTCGTGTCGTCCTGTTCTTTGATCAGACAAAGAAGTCGTATCACACAAATGCACTTCTTCTTCTACTTCTACTTTCAACTGTTCCCTTCAGGGGGTCGCCACAGCGGATCATCTGCCTCCATCTCGCCCCACCCTCTGCCTCCACTGCTTTTACACCAACAACCTCCACGTCACAACACCAAAAAAGTTCTCTGCGTTCTTCCTCTTCTCCTCTCGTCTGGCATCACAGAAATGTACAATAACAGAGAAAAACAGGACAAATGTGGAGGCAAATATTCAGCCATTTGTCAGTGTGTGTGTTCATCAAATGATCAATTATTATTAGTAATGAATGGTGAAATACTATGTATGCTTATGTATATATCTTTAAAGATATATACATATATACATGTATGTAAATATATATGAATACATGTATATATTTATATATCTGCATACATGTACTGTATATGTGGATACATGTATATAGAGAATCAGCTACACTAATGGGTTGAGCCACACCCTTTTGTTGCTGTGAGGCAAAAACTCTGATCATCTTGTAAAATTAAAAAAAAAATAGTATTAACTTCAACACAAATGCTACATATATTTGTGTCTAAATCCAGGTCAGAATTTGACACAGACAGAAAACAGTCACACACAGTTCAAACAGACATCTGTTAACAAAAGTCAAAACACTTCACCAGGAGAAAGCAGCATCAACAGCGCAGCAGTAATCATTCGTACAACTACGTGGGCGATTTTTTCTTTGTGACTGCATTATACCTGAAGAGCCTTTTCTCTCAGAGAGCCACTGAGGCCAACAGGGAGAGAAAAATGCTGGGTGAACTTGAGTGACTCTTCTAACAAGCTGAAGAGGGATTCTCAGCTGCCTCTTAAAGGCTGGCCCTTTATTACTCAGGAGTAAACAGCAGCACCCAGGAATGTGATGTGAATCCAAGGAGCTGTGAGTGATGCGCTGCATAAGAGCATTAAGACGCCAGGCTCTGGAGAACCGTTATCTGCTGCTGTGGTTTTTCTAGAGAAGCATCATTGTAGTCAAATATTAATAAGATGTCTCTTTTTTCAGCTGGGTACACCCTGTGGGCTGTAGTACACATTTACTGCAGTTCTGCTCAGATTTGAGCTATTTAGACAATCAGTTTTAGAGTGTACTGATACACATGTTCCAATTTAGTACTTGCTTAGTATAATTTAACTACTACTGGGTCACAAACTATGGTACCCATACCCCTGGTTGTACTGGGGTTCCCTTTAGTGGTATCCAGGGAGTCTCATACCCATTAGTATTAAAACATGGGAGTCACTTAAATTCAACTGTTAAATAATTTAACTTGCTGTTTGTGTATCTACTAACTACAGGGGTCAGGACTCACTTACTGTACATACGTCACTTACACACACTAACACGGTGGTAACAGCATAATCTAGGGAAGAACAACGTTCCAAGAGCCTGGGAGCCACAACAAAGGGCAAAAAGTTTCCAAAAACAACTCAAACAAAAAAAATGTAAGATAATGAATGTAAACAATGCCGTCTTCACGTAATTATCCATTTTAGCATTGAATATCTGAATGACGGAACAAGACTTTAATTAATACATTTATGGAAGATGGTGACGTAACCATGAAATGTTGTTAGCCAAGGATGTCGTAAACTGAGGACCTGCTGTATATTTTGTGAGTTCAAGTGCCTTTCAGTGCTGCTGTTTTGCTTTGGCAAATAAATAGATTAATAAATTCCCTTTGTATTTAGTGCTCAGCCGAAGAGAGTACACTGTACTGCTGTATTTTAGTGTTGGCCATACTAATGTTACTTCAAATATTTTTGGATATGGTGTGAGGTGTAATTGCTGTAGTAGACTAGAGTCCATTGAGATTCTGATCTTTTGGTTTATCGTCATAATAGAGTTAGTGATGAATTTGGTTTAACAATAAAACCTAATTAATTTCAACCAAAAACAAAAAGCCTCATCACTTAGCATCAGTTTACATTTGTCGTACTTAGCGCAATCATATTTGTAATAGTTACACTCTTGAGTGAGTGTATTTCTGTTGCACTAGATTTATTCTCCTCTCTCAGACACTCATAGGTTTCACAGTTGGAAGCCAGTTGTATTTTCTGTTCTTGGGTGTTAAAAGAACAATGAAAATTCCTTGAAAAAAACTGCTCTGTGATTTTACCCGCTCTTGCTTCAGGCATTTCTCACTGCATAATAAACAGCATCACCACAAACTGCTGCAAAGTGTTTTTACACAAATGCCTCCAAACACACACAGAGAAGAGACAGGCTCTTCCCTGCAGAAAACAGACGAACGAAGACATGTAAGTTCTAGGACTGTTTGGCAGCACTCGTGATCGCAGAAAAGATGTTATATTTAAATTGTTTTCACCATATGGCCCACTTTCAAAATTTTGTTTGTTCAAAATGATGCACAGTTTCAGCAAGTGAGTTAGCTAGTATATATAAATACATATAATATATACATATATGTATATAAATGCATATGGTTTGTATGTATGTATACAGTATGTATGTATACACACACAAACCATGTAAGTGCATGTCTCAACCTCTGCTTAAACAACATAGATATTGATCAAACTCAAAAATGTATTGTAAACGACACTTAACTTATACTTACAAAACATAGCCAGTAAAAAAAAAAACAAATTCACTTAATGGAGAATGTGAGTACAATATCCCTACATTAAGGATTAGAACATTCTCCACTTTCTTTTTAATTGAAGGTCTAATGTGACTAAAGTGCTGGTGACACACACGTGATCAACATGAGCTGAAGAAAATCATTTAAATGTAAGTAAAATACTATTATCACGGCTCAATAAAATAGCTTATTTGAAGACATTTTGTGAGGGATAACATACCCGTGGTTTTCGGTGCAGCAAGAGTGCCCTCTGGTGATTGACTAGAGTATTTCAATTAATTATGGTTGCGTAACTACATGCACTGAAAAGCTGAGCATGTTATTTGAGGAACTACAGTCACTTCCTCTCCTCCCTCCACAGGCCACCGTCTAACATTATAAGTTAGAGGTATGATCTACTAAATACAACCCCAAGGACACTGATGACAAAGACATCTTTAGGACGTCTCTAAACTGTTTGACCAACAATGTGAATGCTCCGTTAATGATGCTTAATTCCACCTAATTGGTCCAAAAACTATTATTTATTTAATGCAAATAATTTGTCTTTGTGTATGTGACAGTGGAAGCAAGTACAATATTATTCCACTAGGTGGCAACAGAAGGCTATAAAAAATAAGCATGGAGCTACTCAAAGATATTGAAGATTTTAATTTAATTTTCTTTCATTTCTTCAAGCAAATCAGCATTATGTTCAACTAAACAGGCCAAGGTTTCACATCACTAAGTAGGCAAATCGAAGTTAGAAGATACTGAGATATTTCATTATATATACTTTTGTATTGTGGTGCAATATGAAATTATTGTCATTTAAATTTTGTTTTTGCTTGAAAAGCTTTGGGAAACACTTCTCTGAGACACTGCTCAAGGTTGTAGTATATTAGCATAACAGAAAAAGCCCACAATTTTTCACCATTTTAGTGAAAATAAGATATGGATAGAAAAAACTAAAGAAATTAGCACACAAAGTGATCCACTAAGAGCATTAAGTCAGTAATTGTTTATTTGGTGACAACATTGGCATCATTTCAGGGATTATTTTTTCTGTTTTATTACAAACATTACAGTGAAAAAGCTCTACATATTTAAAGACAACAGTAACATTTTCAATTACAAAAAGTGATGACAAGGTAGAAAAATAGGACAGATGGTGTCGTTAAAATGGACCCAAATAATATCCATTACAAACAAACACATTTTCAAATCACTTTGAAACAATTTGACTCAGAAAAGAGAGGTGAACGTCCCATCGAGATGAAAGTCCTTGACAAGACGACGTCAGTCCAGGAGCATTTGTCCAGAGTGAAGGATGTGTGTTGACATCAGTGTCTTTGACAGGCGGTGTCTAACCCTGGTGGTTAAAGCCCAGTGCCTCCGCTCCTTCTACACCATGTGGCTGCCTATAGTCTGTGGAGGGTGGAGCTGATGATGTCCATGAATGTGGCTTCTACACAGTAGCAGAGCTGAACGTCGATGTCTGCTCCACCCAGTTCTTCTGCTGTCCTCTGAGGTAAGGTCAGCTTTGATGATGCTCCTTGGACCAGAGCTCCCTGAGGTTTCTCTTTCAGATTCTGTAGACCTGTGGCAGACGGACCATCGTTATCACCAGCCTACCTTTACCACACGCCTGATCAAGAGGAACACACATAAATGATGTGTACTTCTGGGTACGTACGGGCGATGAGTGGGTCGATGTCTCTGGCCTTGGTGGCCACATCAGAAGCACAAACTTGGCCCACTTGAACCAACAGAGCGGTCACTTCATCGTAGAGTGGAGGGAAGGCTTGACAGAAGGCCACCAGGCAGGGCAGCGTGGGCATGAAGAAGGAGTAGCGCTTTGCGTGCGTCAGCACTAAACAGAGCACAGTATTTCTAGATTGTAGGACTTTTCTCATATTTCATATTTTTCCATCAATTGTGGCCGCTTGTACTTTAAGCCATGAGTTCCAAAAGGGGGGGTGGGTGCACCCTGTTACTACAGAGGAGGTGCAGCAAGGGAAATAATCAAGGTTGTTTTAAATTTTTGAATTCTTTCTATTTGTGCCACTCTGTGAAGATGGCACTGCCGTAGGTACAGTGTTTCAGTGTTCTGTACTGAGGTCGGTGAAATTTGCGGGTTAGAAAAACCTGTGAGTGCGTCAGAGTGGGTGGATAAACAATAGTCCCCTCTATATGAAGGCTGCACCTTTGAACCACTGCCTCACACCAAGTATCATTACTGTCTCTCTCACCCCATAATAACACACTCACATCCTTTACCTTGTGTCTTTGTCTGTATTTGGGTTTGCGATGCCTCACTGAATTTAACAGTAAGAACACTTCACTATAGATGTACAATATAAACATATATATGTATTGTGTATATATGAAACAATCAATTATTAGATATGTTGCATAATTATCATAGAAGATCTCGGGAAGTCATTACACTGCATAATTAAATATTCAACATAATGATAAAATTGGTTTAAACAAACGTTTTTATGAGCAAGGCTCTGCAAGTACTTTTAATGCTACTAAATTAAGACACATGTACACAAATGTTATAATAATCTGAATTACAAAACTTTACTTTCACGAACATTACGTGATTATGAGTTGATGGTGAGAAATTTGCTGTCAGAGCTCTGTCTAGTTTACTTGTGTAATAAAGAGGACAATGCTCCACCGTCAGCCAAAGGTCAGACTGAGAAACTGAATACCAGAGGAGAACAGCATTAAGCCTTTCTCTGTAATATAAGCCTATTCATACCAGATTCACTGTAGTGTAGAGTTGAGGGTGTACAGTGGCAGAAAAGTAGATTATAAAAAGCTACAGGTCTAAGTTAGAGTCCATGAGATGAAGGAGATGAAACAACAGTGGACTCACCTGTGAGCAGTGTTCCCATGACACTGATGGCCAACCTGGCCACACTGAGGGATTTGGGGAGAGCATACTGGGTGCAGAGGTACGATAACAGTTGGATTGCAAAGATCTGTAAAGACACAAGCCAATTGTTTATGTAGAAAGATAATACGATCACAAGTCACACAGACGTCCTCAAGCACCTGTTTGATGAGAGGATCTGGCTCAAGGCCACGGCAATTGAGGGCTTTACAGCCAGCCAGGGAGGGAGGAGGTGGGGGGTTGGGAGGGGGGCACGGGCGGTCTCACCTGC